CTATCACCCCTCTCTCTCACTTCCAACCAGTTACCCTCCTCGCCTCTGTCACCAGTCACCCCCACTGTGTCACCCCCTCACTCTGCCACCTGTCACCCCTCTGTCCCACACTGTCATCCCCTCCCTCACTCTGTTACCTTTCACCCCCTCTCTGCCACCTGTCTCCCCCCTCCTTCCCACACTGTCACCTGTAACACCTCCCTCACTCTGTGACCTGGCACCCCCTCTCTGCCACCTGTCACTCCCTTCCTCCCTCACTGTCCCCCCTTCCTTCTTCACTCTGTCACCCCCCTCCCTCCCTTACTCTGTCACCCCCTCACTCTGCACTTGTCACCACCTCCCTCACTCTTCCACCTGTCACCCACGCCCTCACTCTGTTACCTGTCACCCCCTCCCTCACTCACTCTGTCACCCCGTCCCTCCATTACTCTGTCACCCCCTCCCTCACCACCTTCCCCCCCTCACTCTGTCACCCCCTCACTCTGCCACTACCTCCCTCATATACTCTGTCACCTGTCACTCCCTCCCACACTCTGTCACCTGTCACCCCCTCCCTTCCTCTGCTACCTGTCACCCCCTCACTCTGCCACTACCTCCCTCATATACTCTGTCACCTGTCACTCCCTCCCACACTCTGTCACCTGTCACCCCCTCCCTTCCTCTGCTACCTGTCACCCCTTCACTCTGCCACCCCACCCTAGACTGTGTCCTACCTATACTACATCCCTATCCCACCCCACACTATGTGTCCTACACATACTCCATCCCTATCCTGCCCTTCACACACTACATCCCTATCCTGCCCTACACACTACATCTCTATCTGACCCCACACTATGTGCCCTACCCACACCACATCCCTATCCCACCCCACACTATGTGCCCTACCTACACTACATCCCTATCCAACCCACACTATGTGCCCTATACACACTCTGTGTGATGAGTAGAAGTGGGGCTAGGAAGTGACATCAGCTAGGTGAAGGAACAGCAGAGATAGGTAGGAAATAAGGAGAAGATGGGGGAGGCCACAGGGAGCAAGGGGAAAATGGCTAATGCTTTCCTATGGTGCAGTGTAAAGCACGCACGCGGCCGTTGCCGTGCACGGGCAGCAATTGCCACGCATGCGCATTAGGTCTCCCCCGCCGGCTGCCGGCGGTGGGGGAGGAGAGTTGGCGAAGCCTGACCCAGCGCCAAGGGACATCGGCACTGGATACAGGTAAGTTAAGGTATGGTAAGGGTTTAACCCCCTCAGCAACCTGGGATGGGAGGTGGGAAGGAAAGGGAACCTGCAGTGCCAGGAAAACGGTTTGTTTTCCTGGCACTGGAGAGTCCCTTTAACATTTATTTAATGCACATATATTTGGCCTTCTAATTTTGCCCCGGGGCTCCAAAGGCTCTTAGTCCGCCCCTGATTAGGAGAGAAACCTATTAAAAAGCATTTTTACCTCCTGTCAGTCAATGCCTCTGCTTGCTGATCCATTCGCTGACAATAGAGCAGAAAAGATCTCCAACAGGAGATTCCTCTTCTCTACTCCCATAACAACCACAGAACATGCTATGGAAACTACCTAGCCAGCACTTCTTGAGCTGGGTAGGGAGCATAGGAACAGAGTGATGTGACATCACTCGGTTCTGACACCTGCATGTTTGTGCATATTATATGTTAGTGACTAGTGTGCACTGCACACTGCCTACAGACATAACTGATTCTCTCTTGCAGAGAGAAGCTCTGTCGTCCCCTCCCTTCATTCATTCCTATTACCTCCACATTTTCTTTTAATCCCCCTAACCTCCCTTGTCCTCCATTCCCTCCCTCCCTTTCCCCATCCCTTTGTGGGCTCAGAGCGTGCACATGCACTCTCAGCCAGTTCAATCCCCAATCAAAAACTTCTCTATGAGAAGTCTTTGACATTGATTGGACCTTGGCATGGCTCCTGTGCCTGCTGCTGGATTGACTTAATTTAAAAACGCTCTTTGAGTGTTTATTTTGGGGGGACTGATAGAATAATGCCAATAGGACATTATTCCATTTCACACAAAGAGGGTTGCAGAAACCCTTTAACAAAATGAATAGTTGGTTCTCCTACCATCTGTCCAGAGGTAGTAAATCCATTGACCAACATATTAAATTAAGATTGAAGACAATTTACCATGATTTTGATAGACAGACATAGCGACACACAGATAGGGAGAGAAAGATAGAGAAATATACATAATGGTAAACTATGTAATTTTTGGGTTCCTAATACACCATTCTGAACCATGTATCTTTAGTATTACAATATTAAAAAAATATATGTTTAGATTTTTACAGAAATGTATTATACAATAACTCAAATGCTGTAGTTCCCTACACTTCCAGTTGCTATCAAATGCAATGCACATGCATACACATACATATGTAAATACAAATGCACAAACAAATGCTCACACATACACACACCTTTTTCTTTCCTTGTGCAACATCATGATACACACGTACCTGGCTTACAGAAATGGACGGTAGCTATTTTAGTCCCTTGAAATCACAAATATATCAAGTCATACACACAGACACACACACGCACATACATGAGTATTTATTTATGTATAAGCATAAAGGGTAGCAAAGCTATAGAACATAAAAAAGCTATAGACTAAGGGGTTGCATATTTCAGAATTAAAGAACAAGTAAAATAGCAAACATAAACATATTTCTATAAACAAATAATAAATATTTTAACTCAAGGCAAGAATAAAAATAATAAATACATGTATTGTTCTGAAATACACAAAAAATATTGAATGATTGCTGAAGTGCTTCAGGGTTTAATGAAGTGATACTCTTTCACACTTTTTTGAGTCAGAAAGAAAACAGCACTTTTATAAAGGCACTAAGTTGCACCCTTCCAGTTGTCAGTAAGACAGCTGGGAAGTACTCAACACAAAGCAAAAGACAGTGTTTCTCGTAGAGACACATTGGATTCAATTTGACCTTAACCCCTTCAGGACACATGACATGTGTGACATGTCATGATTCCCTTTTATTCCAGAAGTTTGGTCCTTAAGGGGTTAAAGGGAAGTGATAGAGGTAAACTCAGTGAGCGAGTTTAAAGGACCACTATAGTGGGATATACTCTGAAACTGCTATGTTTACAGCAAGAAGGGTTAAACCTGGCTGGACCAGGCACCCAGACCACTTCATTAAGCTGAAGTGGTCTAGGTGCCTATAGTCGTCCTTTTCGCATGTGTGGGATAGGCATAAGGCTATCCTAGATATAAGAGACTAATGAAAATTTGGCAGACTAGATGGGCCGAATGTTTCTTATCTGTCATCACATTCTATGTTTCTATTTGTATGAGAAGCATTGAAAGAATAGCTAGACAATTACTGTGCATAAGTTCTGCTTCCCAATGCTTCTCTATGACAAACTTTCAGTTGATTGGGAGTTCATTAGTACTGAAAGCTTCTCACTGCTGGAAGAGGTAACCAGAAATGGTGGGAGCCAAGGAGATACAGCACATTCACAAACACTTTAACATTATAAATAAAAGGAATTGGTTTATAATGCTGGAGCGTTCCTTCGATACACTGAACTCATAAACATAAATCCTAAAGAGACACACCATAAAAACGTGATGAGAACCCCACTGAGATGAAAAGTCAGATAACATGTAGAGTCCACATAAAAAGGTACACAATACAGTAACAAAACATGATATAAAGCAATCTCTATGTGACATTAATAGGTGAGTAATACACATTATATGCTTACTGGATGGAAAGTTTAATAATATTGTCAGTGTGTAAATAATAAGACATGGTAATGTGATAACTTACTGCACAGTTATACAAAAGCAGATTAATGCATATAACTAGTAATAAAGCTTTAAATTGTCTCATAAAGAATTACAGATACACCGCAGATTCTCCCCTTTTCACATCAATACAAACTCTGAAGGCTCTATCCCTTAAACAGCAAATTGAAGTGAGTAGAAAATTAGATTTTGAAATACATCAGAATATTTTTTTTTCCAAATTATGTTTCATTTTTCAATAAACTGTGAATATTAAAACATTGACAGGATATTTCAAAGTTAAACCAAAATAGTTGAACTGCAAAATAATTCTACAATTATTGTTCCAACTTGACTATTTTGGTCTTTAATCCGCAATCCATTTGCCATTTCTCTGCAATTTGTGGCTTAATAAATAAACCCCTACAATATTGGCCTACAAAAAACATGTGGTTTTAGAGTTCACAGTTTATCTAAAAAACCCTTTTGACAAATCTCTGGTTTTTTTTTGTTTGTTTTTTATTCTTTATTTTTGCAGTGCATGCGTTTACATACAGATTTGCGACACCACAACAGTATTGGCAAGTGATTCAAACATCAAACATTGTGTAACTTTGACATGGTATGTGGAGTAACTGCACATTTTTTAAATAATATGCAACAGATTAATGGTACATGCTGGGTGTAGTCAGGGCATGAAAGTGAGTAACAAATTTGTATACTGTGCTTATCACCCAGGCAATGCGATAAAGTAAACATGCTATATACGATGTTGGCATGGTGAAGAATATGACAAACTTATACTGCACATTTACGTATATAGACAGGATAGTATTATATTTGCCTGAGGGTACTTAAGTTGGGTTAGTAGTTTCAACAGAGGCATTAAAAATAAAATAAAATAAAATAAAAAATAAAGCAATCAACGTTGTAGCATGCTGGTAAAATACAACTGGCCGATACCCTGGCCGGTACCGGTGTGAGACTACTTATGGCATTTAGCCTATGCCGCTCAGAGTCCAAGTGTAGTGAGGTCGCCTGGTACCAGACTCTGTCTCCCCCTCATGCAAGGTCAACGCTTGTATAGAATAGGCAGCTGAGGTCTTAAATGCAACAATAATTAAAATAAAAATAGGCACTTGTATAAATGTCTAAGTCTGTTGCTGGAGCCCTTGGAACAACCTGCCAGGGGTGGGCGAGTCATCTGCCCATCTGCAGGGTCAGCCAATTCCCCGCTGGAGCCAAACTAAGTTCTGCCATGAGAGTCCCGGTGTCAGGCCCATCATCCCGCTGGAGTGGGAGCAGGTAAGGTTAAAGTGGAATTCCGGAAAGGTGTTCGACGTCTGTCTGAGCTTTGCTTGCGGCAGCAGTGACTTACTTGGTTTGTGGTGCATAGTGTTCATATTGCGCTTTATTGGGTCACCTACCCTCCGCTTCACCTTGGGTCTCCTGCTTCGTTGTGCCATTGTCGGGTGATGGGTTACACCTGCAGCTTGGGAGGCTTCACTGCACCATTGTCCCGCAGCCGGCGATCTGCTTGGTGTGGCGGGTCCCACGCGCGTTTGAAGCTTTGTCCCCCTCTGTGGCTCCTTCTTCCGTGCTGCTTTGTGCTGACTCCCAGATGGGGGGCGCCGCGCACAGTTCCACCATTTCGGAGCCTGCTTCACCGCCGTGTATGCAGTTTTCCTGGGTTCCCAGCCGGGTTGCACAGACTGCACTCTGAGTGGGTATGTACCCATCGGTATTGTGGCTTGCATTGCGTGAGAACTTAGCCGCTGTGGGGTGGCCTGAGGTAGTCTGCTTTCAAACTTCTGCCAGAAATCTTTGAAAATTTTCTCCAGCCGAGTCATGGTGGTGGGTGCTGTATCTGTGAGGCTGGTGGAGCGCATGGCATCCGCCATTTTAGGCCAGTTGTTGTGCTGCGTACTCTGTCTTGAGATGACTCCCCGGGTTCCCATTAAACCAGGGCATCTGCTCAGGGGGGGACCGGGATCACCCCCACCGGTCCAGAGGGGGGGGGAACAGGGGTTTTGTCTCCGTTTATCAGCCATGGGTGTCAGCGGGGGAGCAGCCGTCTCCCTCATGCTGACCACGCTTGTAGGCCCCGCAGGACGAGGAGGCGAGTTTCGCTGGAAGTGTCGCTTGTGAGGCATCATTGTGTGCCCCTCTTTGTCACCTTCCTCCTGGTGGCCTTTTTGAGCCGATTAATTCTCGTTTTGACGGCTGTTTTGTACTTTTTCCGTGCTGCAGAGCAGGAGCTGTATAGTTTAGCTTCCTCTCCTCTCAGAGGTCAGGCCCCGCCCCCAAATCTCTGTTTTTTTGATCTTGGGTTGGATTAAAATTTTTTGCCACAAATGGCCTATAATACAATGTAACAAAGCTGTGATAATTATCATTGAAATTTAGTTGTGTATCTGTCAGTCATTATGAGACAGTTCAAAGCTATTTTCTTGGTTATGCTGCATAACCTGTTCCATATTTAATTTGTTGCATTATTATATCTAATAATTAAACACACCGTCTATACCAGGGGGTAGTCAACCTTTTAATACCTACTGCCCACTTATGTATCTTTTTTGATGGTAAAATTTCCTTACTGCCCAACGGTGCCGCATTAATTGAATTTTTTTAGCGCAAATGCCATTTTTTTTTAGAAAGTAGTTTTTTGTTTTTTTTTTATGTATTTAACCCCTTAAGGACCAAACTTCTGAAATAAAAGGGAATCTTGACATGTCACACATGTCATGTGTCCTTAAGGGGTTAAATGTATCTTTTTATTTCTACTTTATGCATGTTTATACATATATAATTTAAATGTAATGAATTTAAAACCACTTTTTCTATTTTCCGTTTTATTACAAATACCAACAACAATGCTTCATTAGGTCACCATTTTTATTATGTATCACCATAAAAAGTTCCCCTTTTCCATTTTTTTTTCTTACTTCTCCTTGTTTCTCCTCTTCCTTTTTCTCCTTCCTTGTTGCAATCTCCAGCAGGAAGGTAGCCCACTTTATTATTAGCCAACAACAAAAAATAAAACAGAAAAAGGGGATATCTATGTATATAAGGTTTTTTTTTTCTTTCTCTTTATTCTCTCCTTCTCCTTCCTTTACTTCTTTTTCTTTTCCTTCCTTATTTTATTCTATGTTAAGTAAACCCAATAAACAGAACATAACTTAGCTTGCATAAGGAAAATAACAGAGCTCAGTTTAATAGCAAACACTTTAAACACCAAACTTCTTACTGTCCCTGTTTTTACATCAAGTGCATCAGCTCCCCTCCTCTTCCCATACATCATCACGCCCCCATCAAGCGGCGTACATACCGCGGTTGCAGGGGTCGCAGCTGCGACCGGGCCCACCACTCCAGGGGGCCCGTCCGCCCTGCGGACCCCTGTGTCCGGGTATTCGCCACCATCATCTTCTGCAGCCCCGGCCCGCACGGCAAACTGCCGGGGCCGCCGTCCAAGGAGTCCATCGGGTGCCCCATGCTGTCAGGGCTACCCAATGTATGTGGATTGTCAGGTGGCCCGGTCAGCGCTGGGTGCTTTAACAGCGCGACCGGGCACCCTGTGATGACATCACAAGCTGGGAGGAAGTGACTGCACGTCACTCCTCCCAGTTAACACTGAGAGCCGCGGGAGGAAGAACAGGGAGTCAGAGTGGGAACTCTGACTCCCATCCACCTGAGCCACCATTGAGCCCCAGGGAAAGTCACCCTCCTGAACCAAAAAGGTAGGAAACAGGAGGGTGACTTAAACATTTTGTGTGTGTGTATGTGTGTGCCTGTCTGCATGTATGTGTGTCTGTCTGTGTGTGTGTCTGTCTATTTGTATGTATGTGTGTGTGTGCCTGTCTGTGTATGTATGTATGTATGTATGTGTGTCTGTCTGTGTGTGTGTCTGCCTGTATGTGTGTGTGCTTGTCTGTTTGTATGTATGTGTGTGCGTCTTGTGTGTATGTGTCTGTATGTTTGTATGTGTGTGTCTGTCTGTATGTGTCGGCCTGTGTGTATGTGTGCCTGTCTGGTTTTTTATTTATGTGTCTTTGTATGTATGTACGTCTTGTGTGTGTGTCTGCCTGTATGTGTGTGTGCTTGTATGTTTGTATGTATGTATGTGCGTCTTGTGTGTGTGTGTCTGTCTGTCTGTATGTTTGTATGTGTGTATTTCTGTCTGTCTGTATTTGTCTGCCTGTGTGTATGTGTGCCTGTCTGTTTTTTTGTGTATGTGTCTTGGTATGTATGCGTGTCTTGTGTATGTGTATGTGTGTGTGTGTGTGTGTCTGTCTGTCTGTCTGTATGTGTGTGTGTCTGTATGCGTGCCTGTCTGTATGTATGTGTGCCTGTCTGCATGTGTGTGTGTGTGTGTCTGTATGTGTGCCTGTCTGTGTGTATGTATGTGTCTGTGTGCCTGTCTGTGTGTCGGTCTGTATGTATGTCTGTGTGTGTCTGTCTGTATGTATAAATGTGTGCCTGTCTGTTTGTATGTATGTGTCCATGTGTATGTGTGTGTGTGTGTCTTATGTATGTGTGTGTGTCTGTCGGGGGGAAATAGGGAGGGGGGGGCCACAGATCATTTTTGCACACCCCATTGTGTGTACGCCACTGCCCCCATCCATCCTGATCAGGAGTGCAGCCGTGCAGCCGTGCAGCCGTGTAGCCGTACGCGTGCTTCATTTTAGCCATCGAGAGAGATTTCACAAACAGAAGTGTTCATGCAATGCATGTTGGGCGTTTTGCTCATTCTCAATGGCTGGAAGGAGATGCACACCTGAATGGAGCAGTTAGAGTGCCAGGAGTGCCCTAGTGCCCTTTTAATGTAAGTAATCAAACCATTTAAGAATGGTTTGAGAATTTATCGAGGGCCTGCCAGACACCACTTGCCTACTCCTCTGCAGCCTGGAAGCTCTGTACACTGGGCTAAACTTGGCGGTGCAGAAAGATGATCAATAATAGGGCTTAGCTCAGAGGATCTAACAGTGGAGGTAACCAGTGTGCAGTAGACCCCAGGTAAGTTAACAAACTATTCTTAAATGGTTTGACCACTTATACTGGTAGGGCACTAGGGCACTTCTGGCACCATAACCACAAAGAAAAAAAAGACATATTCTAACTGCACAAAGAAAAGAGACTCTAATCCTCAATATGGGTCATGTTCTTTAGAACACAGTCATAATTGTATTTGTCAATCATGAATAGCATTACTAAAGCCCTAAGTTTTGCAGCATGATTTATACATTTTAAATTCATTTCATCAGGTAAAATTTCTGATATTTCCCTTAAATGTATAAAAATAAATGATTCATCTTGAATTTATTTGCATGATTACAACTTGTACATTTGTTTACATGTATTTAATGTTGAACTACCACTTCTCTAGAGGTGACAGTTTTTCATTACCTACTCACAGTACATGATAATTTAAAAAACACATACTTTTTCTACAATGACACTTTCTGAGCAACTTTGCTCCCCTTTGATGCCACAGGCAGACTCATGTATACTTGAGCATCTACTGAGATATGCATGCGCTGCTTGGCCATTTCTTCAGTAGTGCCGTATATGTCTCAATGTAGTTTAATATATAAGAGGGCAGTGCATGAGTTATAGAGACCCGGTATTAAAAGTAGTAAAAATTATGATAAATAAAAAGCATGACTTTGGTTGTGCAGAAATCTCAAATGAGACAGTTCAGCTTTTATGTATGTTGAATGTCATCTCAAATGCAGATGTACTTGTTGTGTGAAGAAGGACGAGGACCTAAAGTAAGTAAATAAATAAATATGAAGCAATTGCAACACAAACCACAAGTCAATGCCAGTGATCATCAGAATTAAAAAGGTCTAATAATAATTAGGCCAACAAATAATTTGAATATCTCCAACGCCATTAAATGATTCAATGAATAAAATACAACATATTGGCAGCTCTGACAGATAATGGTAATGAAATAAAAATGAAAAGTGTAACAGATCCAACTTACTGTCCTAATTAAATTGTGTGAGTAAATTGATAGGTCTTATCAATTCCAGACATTGTCAATGACATGTAAATGTTTCAAATGACAGAAGATCAAGTCTAGACATAAAATGTGCCAGTATTTTAATAAAGGTAAATGTTTTGGCTTGACTAGACACCATTAATAGTGATACGAAGCAACCATTGTTGGCTAGAACATTGATGACTAATGGAGTTTATTCACTGACATTGAACTACAGTGCACTGAAAACACTTAATAATTTAATCAAAAACAGCTAATTTGGAAGAATGTAGCAATTTAGCTACCGTTTTTTTTTTTAAGTATACATTTTTATTTTTGAATTTCATGTTATTTTAAATCAGAATATAATGAACAAAGCCCAATATATAATTCTTTATTCTTACCAAAGCTTTGATTTTTGGTCTTTATCTCTTAAAATACTGGCAATTCAAAATTCATAATTGTCATGGTGCATGGATGAAATACATTGTCTTTCTTTCAACATAGTGTAATGCCTTCAAAAATGCAATTACATTCTGTAATTTGAAAAACAAATGTCTCTACTTGATATTCACACTCCAGAAATTCAAACGATAAAGGGCATTTTAATACCCAGAATGTTTTTGTTTATTTGGTTTTTGTTTTTAATTCTGGCCAAGTTAAAAAAATGTATTTACTACAATTTGCAAGGGGAAAAACAAACAAACTGGCTTCTGCTGCTAATGAATCAATTTACTTTTTTCCAGGACTTACTTCTTTGTTAGTGCTTGGTAT